ATTTTCTAGCATTTTTTGTTTTACAAGCACTGTTTCTTTAAAAGTAAACAGTTAAGGGGACCAGTCATAATTAATTTGGAGGGGGGGTGAAGGGGAAATTGGGGGACCTTCAATGTTTTAGGATGGAATATGGGGGGCCTTAAAATGCCAAAAGATGACCTTGGGGGAGTCTTCAAGTTTCTTTTAAGTAGCATCCTTACTGAGCAGCATGATGCTTGAGTATTAAAGGACCTGATTTTGATTCAGTTTTAGACAAAGTCCTATATTGTGTAATACTAAAACAATTTAATCAGCATTTTTACAAGAAGATTTAATGCTCAAATAGTAGGTGCATCAAAACAACATCCATTATTGTGTAACACTGAAACAATTTCATCCGCATTTTAACAAATGATTACATGCATAAAGTCATGTAATGCAATCTCACTATCGGAATGATTATTTGTAGATGAGGTTGATGTGGACTCAGTGTCTGTGTCACTGTCAAGTTTTTTGCTATTCGAGCATGTACTGCTCATATAAAAAGTAGTAAGCTTTGGCTGATTATCTTCTTTCTTCCTTGAAGCGGTCCTGTCAGCCTCTAACCTTTTGATGACTTGTCTTAAGAGAAATGATGATGGTAGCCACAGAGATCCTGATGACTGGCAGCCAAGGGCTCAGTTGAAACGCTTATTTAATTCATCAGTAATAACCCTCAACGATACAGATGCCATTAAAGAATATGCAACAAAGTTCGCTGTTGATGAAAAATACATGCGTTCACATCTGGAGTACCTGACAACACTGAGACTCAAAAAATCCATCAGGTCGACTCAGAGGTAAACCGACAAAAGCAAACAAGATCTAAAAACATACAACTAGTATGACTGGCTAGACATGTCTCTAAAAGGAACATTGCAACAACTGTCGAAGAACTTGAGAAATATCTAACTGCCCATGGACTTGGCAAGTATGGTAAAAAAAAGTGACAAAAAAAAAACCATCAGCTGCCATATACTGCGAAATAATAAGCTTAATTCTATAAAAGAGAAACAGTTGGAAATGGCAGACTCCATGTCCTATGCTGACCAGCAAGATGACGAATCACTCTCAGATGACGATTATGTAGTTGGCACATTCGGAAGTGACAGTGAGTAAGAAAAAAGAAAATTTCGCTTCTAACTCACAAGAAGACGCTGCCGTCGACACAGCCACATGCAGGTTTTTTGAATCGAACGAAGTGATCCCCGCGCAATTTCTCGCGCATGCTCAGACGTTTGACCGCGGTGGAGGGTGCGAGAGGTAAACTCTCTCTATGCAACCCAGTGTCCCACTGGGCCGCAGTAAGTTCCACATAGTGGTTCTAGTTTAATTAGTTGATAAATTTCACTATATTTATTTGATCACACTTTAAAGTCGTTATTTGCAGCCTACAAATTTGTATGTCGAGACTGTGTATGTTGTAATGTAATATATCTAATATTTATTTTATTTAGTTATTTTCATATCAGTTGTAATAATTATGCAATACCAATTACTGAAACAGAAACAGGAAATAATTAAACAAGAGAGACCAATGCTGACAAACCTTCACTACGAGCCTCTGGTTAAACTGGTAACTCAGCCACTGAAGTCCCCATGCCTTCACCACTACTATTACCACTTAAAAAGGACAACTATGTCAAACTAATCAAACACAGGACACAATAATGCTCAAAGATCTTCACTATGAACCTACGGTTAAACTGGATTTACTGGTTTACTGGACTTACTGGATTTACTGGCTTTACCTACTGGTTAAACTGGACAGCCACTGAATTTCCATGATTTCACCACCCTTATTAACACTTAAAAAGGAGAAATATGACATGCAAATCAAATACGGGATGCAGCAATGCCCAAAGATCTCAATTAAGAACCTTTGGTTAAACTTGTAACTCAGCCACTGAAGTCCGAATGCTTTCACTATTACTATCACCACTTAAAAAGGGCAAATATACCATACTATTTTACAATACTCAAATCAAAGCGCAAAGCCAAAACATTAAAATAACAAGTCTCATGCACGAGGGTATGCAGGTGCACAGGGCCCTGAATCCCAAGGGGCAATAATAAATGCTGTTGAACACTCCCTCTCGCGCAGTCTCTTATCAGCGCCAAGGACGAAGGTGGAACTTCCAATTTTTCCATACGAATTTTCAGCAAAGAACACTTCAGATAAAGAACGGCTCAACCGAATTATGAATGAGTTTTCTCCTCACAATAATCCTGATATTCATACCAATATTCCATAAACCAATGGCACATTTTACCTTATATCAAATTTATCAGTTTTGTTTTCAGCCATTAATTTTCTAGCATTTTTTGTTTTACAAGCACTGTTTCTTTAAAAGTAAACAGTTAAGGGGACCAGTCATAATTAATTTGGAGGGGGGGTGAAGGGGAAATTGGGGGACCTTCAATGTTTTAGGATGGAATATGGGGGGCCTTAAAATGCCAAAAGATGACCTTGGGGGAGTCTTCAAGTTTCTTTTAAGTAGCATCCTTACTGAGCAGCATGATGCTTGAGTATTAAAGGACCTGATTTTGATTCAGTTTTAGACAAAGTCCTATATTGTGTAATACTAAAACAATTTAATCAGCATTTTTACAAGAAGATTTAATGCTCAAATAGTAGGTGCATCAAAACAACATCCATTATTGTGTAACACTGAAACAATTTCATCCGCATTTTAACAAATGATTACATGCATAAAGTCATGTAATGCAATCTCACTATCGGAATGATTATTTGTAGATGAGGTTGATGTGGACTCAGTGTCTGTGTCACTGTCAAGTTTTTTGCTATTCGAGCATGTACTGCTCATATAAAAAGTAGTAAGCTTTGGCTGATTATCTTCTTTCTTCCTTGAAGCGGTCCTGTCAGCCTCTAACCTTTTGATGACTTGTCTTAAGAGAAATGATGATGGTAGCCACAGAGATCCTGATGACTGGCAGCCAAGGGCTCAGTTGAAACGCTTATTTAATTCATCAGTAATAACCCTCAACGATACAGATGCCATTAAAGAATATGCAACAAAGTTCGCTGTTGATGAAAAATACATGCGTTCACATCTGGAGTACCTGACAACACTGAGACTCAAAAAATCCATCAGGTCGACTCAGAGGTAAACCGACAAAAGCAAACAAGATCTAAAAACATACAACTAGTATGACTGGCTAGACATGTCTCTAAAAGGAACATTGCAACAACTGTCGAAGAACTTGAGAAATATCTAACTGCCCATGGACTTGGCAAGTATGGTAAAAAAAAGTGACAAAAAAAAAACCATCAGCTGCCATATACTGCGAAATAATAAGCTTAATTCTATAAAAGAGAAACAGTTGGAAATGGCAGACTCCATGTCCTATGCTGACCAGCAAGATGACGAATCACTCTCAGATGACGATTATGTAGTTGGCACATTCGGAAGTGACAGTGAGTAAGAACAGTAAAGTAAAGAAAAGGTTACTTCTTATTACCATTTGGGTATTATGTAAGCAAGGGGGGCCCTTAAATCTTTTAACATGATTGAAGGGGGGTAACCTAAAAAAATGGGTGCTATTGAGTAGGGGTCTGGAAATAATTTGGGATAAAAAACAATTTCTCCTCCACCCCCTACTGCCCCTCCAACTTAAATTATGACTAGTCCCTAATGTCCACCCAAATAATGTGGTTCGGTTATCCAGTGTTACCCAGTCTTACTGCTATTTCTACATTCATTTCATTCAATAAATTCCTTCTATACAATTCTTATCATAACATTTATTAAATTTCTTACACCAGTTATCAACTCTCCTTCGCACTTTTCACAGCAACACCTATCCTCCCAAAACAGTTTTATTTCTATCCCAACTACTTCCCTATATGGACCAGCAGAAAGCAGCCAACCTCAACCACAACATCGGCAATCTTACCAAAACAAGTATCATTGAAAAAAGAAGCAGCCTATTTTCACTCATCAATGGAGACATTTTATCCAATCTGTACTTGGCAAAGAGAAATTGAACTTCTATTCTGGAAATAGCCACTTGGAAGCCAATGACACTTTTGAAGTAATGCTCTTCTTTTCGGGAAATGGCTGCCCACCAATGCAAGCAAAATTTCTGGGTGGATTTTGGCATCACAATACCGGGTCACACACAAGAAAGCCGATAAGAGGACTAGACAGATTGATTTCATTATGAACAACCAAGCCTCTTAAGGACATATCTGGTTTTATTACAATCTTTATTACAATAAATGGCTTTACCTTAATGGTAAACTGAGAAATCGCCAGTAATTTAAAACGTTTTTAAGAACGTAAACGTGTAAGGTTCACAATACCCGTTAATAATTAAATACTTTCACAAGAGAAACATTTTCAGTTTTTTTGTTTGTCATTATCTTGTAGAAGAGAAAAGTGACACACTTTAACACACATTTAAGATATTCAACCTATTCCTTTCACTGTGTCTTCCTTGTTTTTGTAGCTCTGGGGTTCCCCTGGGTTTTTTGCATCACCTAGCCTCTATCAGCCATTTATAACTACAGGGCTCGAAATTGCGACTCACTGGTCGCCGATGCCACCAAAAATCAAGCGTTGGAGACTAGAATTTTAGAGCTAGTCGCAAACAATGTAGAATCGTGCAAGAAAATGATCGATAATTTGAACTTGTTGCAGGCCACTCAGGTGGATAAAGCAGATTTTAGCAAGCTGGCAAAGGGCGACCTTGGAACCAGCCTGATACCAGACATCGATCGCAAACCAGCAGGTCATTGTGTGGCATTAAAATCCACTGCAAACGGAGATTGTTTGTATAATTCCGTTTCGCTTTTTCTTTGTGGTGATGAAACACGAAGTAACTGGCTGCGTCTTCTAGTTACAGAAGAACTGTACTCCAGTGCTGAGTATTATGCATCACATGAAATTTTCAAGAAAACTGCCAAATTTACCAAGATCCCGCAATCAGTTCTATTTACAGTTGCCTTGACGGCAGTTGGTGAGAAAATCATATCAGATGGTGGGAGTCAAACTGAAGCAGTCAAGACTGAAGCTACAGCCAGTTGCAAGATTGGAGTGTGGGACTCCCTTCTTCACGTGATGGCGTTCACATCGGTCATCAGACAGCCGATATATTTGTTATATCCAGACATCAACTTCCGGTTCCGTCCTTTAATGCACCAGCTGTTAAACCCCCGACTTTCTGCGTTGGATGATGGGCGTGATCCTGTCTACTTGCTGTGGTCAAGGGAAGGGAGTCTTGATAGCCGACCAAACGCATGGTACACTTTGTGCTAGTAGCATGGCCATCAGATGCAACCTCTCACACCAAGTAACCCCCCAAGTACCTGTTACCAACATTTCGGCTAACGTGAAATCTGTTGAAAAGAAAACAAGTGTCGGAGCAAAACAGGGAAATATTTCAACTTTTCTTACGCCGGCCCAAGCCAAACCGGAGAAGAAAGGGAAAGGAAAAGCTGACTATTTCCGTAACCAACCGGAGAAGACAGCCACCAAGAGAAGTGCAGAGAATGCAGAGCTAACACTTGATGAAAGAAAACAAGTTACCCTTAAGAAGCCTGCTAGTAAACACAAGTTTTTTCCGCAGTGGCAGGAGGAGTTCACCTGGGTCGTTTTCGACAAAGATGATGACAAAATGACATGCAAAATTTGTTGTGCCTTTCCACACTTGGATGGCAAAACGGAATTTCTATCAGGTTGCCGCACATTCAAGAAGGAGACCTTGCAGAAGCACAATATTGGTGGTCACCTTCGCATCCGTGATGCGAGTCTCGCAAAAAAAAAGCCGATGGAAAATTCGCCCATTGCACGAGGCTTGAGAAGAGAAGGGAAGGTATTAGAAGAGCAGAACAGGAAAGAACTTGAAGTCAAAGAGAACACTGCCTATCTAATAGCGAAAGAAGAACTGCTCTTTACTAAATTCGATCCAGTTCTTTCACTTCAAAAGAAAAATGGATTAGACTTGAATATGACCTACGCAAATGGTAAAGGTTGCAACAACTTTGTCTCGCAAATTAGCGCAGTTATGACAGAGCAATTAGCCGTGGAAGTCAATTCAAAAAAGTACATCAGTCTCCTGATAGATGGAGCCACAGATGCTAGCGGAAAAGAAAACCAAACAGTGCACTGCCGTTAAGTCAAAGATGGTCAGCCATTAAATCGATTGGTGGGGCACAACGCTGTGGCCCAAGGTGAGTTTCTCAGTAAAAATTGAACACTTAACAAAAATTTATGAAATTAAGGAAATAAAGCGTGGAATACAGACTACTCCTGTCCTTCTACAGGGTGTAAGTCACTGTTACTATAGTTAAACTGTTCTTACTTTACACTGACGGCTTCAATGGCAAAATATTTATTTAGGGCTCAAATACTCCACTTTGACGAAATTTTAGTAGTAGCAGTTGATAATGAAAAATTTAGTTATCACTGTAGAAAGCAATCAATTGCATTCAATTCAGAAGTTTATTTATTTCTAACTACTTTTGAAGGTATTTTGGATACTGTCAAGGAGTTATTTGAGGGTGTTGGCATTCTTGAATGGAAGGATAAACTGGTTGGCATTGGTGTGGATGGTGCTTCAGTGAACCTGGGGAAGAAAGGCGGTGTTGCAGCGCTGTTGTGACTAGACATTCCATATCTCATCGACTTCCACTGCCTCCCACATCGGCTACAACTGGCCCTAATTGAAAGTTGCCGTCAAGTGGAGATCATTTACGAGGTGCTGCAGATGATATGGAAGACCTATCATTATAGCCCCAAAAGTACACATGAGCTACAGGCCATTGGCAACAAATTGGGGGTGAGTGTACTGAAGCCAACACAGGTGAGCGGAACAAGGTGGCTCCCTCACATCAGCCAAGCACTCAAAGTTTTGATAACACCAAATTCAGATGGTTCTGGCCAATATGCTGCGGTGTTGTGCCATATGGACCACCTACATGCAACATCAAAAAATGCAGACAAAGGCGCGAGCAAAGTTTGTAAGTGAGAAGATGAGAAGCATCAGGTTTGCTGCATTCTGTCATTTCCTGGCGGACATGTTTGCAATAATTTCGAAGTTACGTCTGAAGATGCAAAGAAATGATTTAATTATTCCTGTAGCAGTGTCGCTCCTCCGTGAAACGATAGCCAACATTGATGCCTTGAAACTTCGGCCCGTCGCAAATGGACATTTGAAACGGTTCATGAATACGCTTGAGGAGTCTGGGGTTCACGATGAGGTGCAAATTCAAGGCCACACATTGCAAGGGTCTCTGGATGGCACACCCAAGAGAGGAAACACCCAAACTGATAGTTTCAAGTCTTCAGTGATTGAGGCAATCGAGCTATGCCAAAGTGGTCTAAAAGAGAGCTTTGGCTCTATGCTCTGTTCAGTGACGGACACTCAAGCCTTGGCATGTACCACCAGTGAAGTGGTTAAAGATATGCTCATTTTTAACGTAGATGCATGGCCACGTAGCGTGCAAGGTCTCATTGACTTTGGTAATAACATGATTGATCGCCTGACCAGCTGGTTTAAACCCACACTACAGAAGGCTGGCTGTGATGTTGATTCAATTTCTGAAGAGTGGTTTTCACTCAAGGTCCTCGTCAACACCACTTTCCTTGACAAGGATTACACAAGCTTGTGGCAGATCATGCTTACCAAGCTGCCATACAAAGACGACTTCAAAAATCTTCTTCATCTTGTAGAAATCACGCTGGTTCAGCCAATTTCAGCCGCCCAATGTGAGCGTGCCATCTCTGCTCAGAACAGGGGCAAGAATAGCCTACGTGTTGCCCTTGGATCCTCCACACTTGAAGAATTGATCCGAATTACAGCAGAAGGCTCATCGGTCGAGGAATTTCATCCAGCACCTGTGGTCGACAAGTGGCTTTTGAGGGACAGGGAAGCGGGAGAAAGGCAGCGGGGACCACAGTTTCAGAATGACATGAAGTTTAATCATTATCTAAAGACATTAAGGAATATCACATTTGCTGTAATTATATCTTATTAAACTTAGGACTACGACGAAGACTGCATGTGTACATGATTATCAGGAAAATGAAGAAAAAAACATCAGTGAAAGAAATGGCGACTAAAAGTTAAGATCTGGCGACCAAAATTTTTGGATTGGTCGCCAATTGGCAAAAAATGTTAATTTTGAGCCCTGAACTACATTACCTAAAGTTCCCATAAACCACCTACCCTCCGTACTCCCACGTTGCCCGATTCCTTGCTCCACCCTTTAATTTCCAATGAACATCTCTCCTCCACTTGACAGTCCCCTGCCTCATTGTTATTTTACTTTTAAGTAATTATTATTATATTATTTATTTTTTAATTATATTTTTCTCTCCTTGCTTCTCTTTTTCCTTTCTCTTCCCAATTCTTAACACTTTCTAAGAGGTTGACATAACAGCTTTGCAGTTTGTCGGTCCCTCTTTTCCCCTTCCTGTTCTGTTATTTCTCTATCTATTTATGTATTAACAATTTTAATAGTTTGAGGTTGACATAGCTGCTTTGCTGTTTGCCAGTCCCTCGTCTTCAAATACTTATCCCTAATCTATTTTGAGGTTGATATGGCCGCATTACAGTTTACCAGTCCCTCATTGCTAATACTTATCCTAACATCTCAGTAAAACTTTTCTATTCCTCTTCTTTTAACCTGTGATCAAATTTTGGCTTTTCACCTAAATTTATTTAATTTTGTCTATCGTAGTTTTCCTTTTTAAAATTTCGGTTGCACTTCATAAATGTTGCCTCAACATAACAATGCCTTGTCTTACTGCTTCACTCAATCAACAGCAAATTCAAAGTTAACAGACAAAAAACTGGGCACTAGCCTGAGATAACTCCTTGACGCACCCACATCTCCCGTCTTTTTGCTTCACTCATCCTAACAAGAATTCAGGTCTAAGCAAGGGGACAAGAATGCTTCCATAGGAGAACCAAATTCAGGTAATCCTCTACCAGATTCTCCACATTTCTTCTTTGAAGACCCACCGTTCATTGCTAGCATGGCTAAAGCCCTCATACCGTCAATTATCAAGGGTTTTAAGCACTCATTCCACCCATCAGATCAACCGTATGGTGAGCGCATGATTTACGAACAGACTACCGGTAACTCCCTTGACAAGGGCCTGGTATCGAGGGGGTGCAATAAACTACAACTGGAGCACACATTTCAGAGGTCAACCTTACCAACCATCCAGACCATTTGGGGGAAGAGGCAGAGCAACATCAACCTCAACCCAGTCGCTCCCCCAAGTCGAGTAAAGGAGCAGTCACTCTTAGTTCCAGGAATGCCCATAAATCTTCCCTCGTTTCCAATGGTTACAAAGCAGTTTATAGGAGGAAGAATTGCTCTTTTTTATCAGTTTTGGCAGGAAATGACAATTGACCCCTGGGTATTAGAAACTGTGTTAGGTTACAGAATAAATTTCTCGCCTAATAAACTTCTTTATTAGGCATCACAATTCAAGGTAATTGTAAGTTTGGCTTGCATGTCAAGGCCAAGCTCCATGAAGCCAACAAGTGTTTATTTGTCATCAGAAGCCTACATAAAGAAGGATATACACAAGATGAAATAGACCACCTCTTTAATTCAATTGTGATCCCTAGGTTATTATACGGTCTTTCAGTTTATGCTGCAAGTGTTTCCGAACTTACTGTTATACAAAGGTTTTTAAAAAGATGCTATAAGAGGCGTTATACGTCGGTCAATTACAACATATATGAACTTTTGGAGAAAAGCGACAGACGCCTTTTTTATAACCTCAAACGCGATGACCATCCATTAAAAAGCTTGCTCCCAAGGTACAAAGACTGTATTGCAAACCTTCGAAG